TTTTTAGATTTTTTTATTATGGATGAAAAACAAATTAATCAAATCCGCATTGTTGCTCTCACCATTTACACATATTATTAATTCAAATAAAAATTTGCAAATAAGCTGTTTACAAAACGCGCGAACCAAACAACTCAACAGCTTATCCAGAACAGGGGCAAATTAGTCATTTTTCTAGAATCAGCTGTTCTCAAAGCACACTAACCAAACAATCAGACAGATTATTCGGATTAGCTGCCCATCAGCAAATTATCAGGATAAGCTGCTTATCAGCAGAAGCTGGATAAGCTGCAGCTGCCCCAAATAGACCCTTAGTCAACATGATCAACTCGGCCAGCTGAGCTTGGTCGGCAAGAGTAAATCCACTAATTTAGTCTCATTTTTAATAATTGATAACTGGTTGGGAATTTTTAGCCGTCACTAATATGGTTGAAGATGTCGAGTGTACATATAAAATGTGGTTGCACAAATTTTAAAGAAATTCAACAGTCGCAAGGTAAGGGACATGGCAAGTAGGGGCCCACCATGAGTAACCGAAGGGTTCACTTTTCAACCACTTTGCTCATATTGGTCGAGTACCACCCAAACCTCGTATCAGGTGATGACTGATGACCCGTTCAATGGATATTCCGATTGAATTTCCTCATGACTGGTTCAGTGAGGTTCCTTACTCGAACCAGATGGACAATAAAGGCTACCCAAATGTTTGGCGGGAGGTCCAACCGGCCTTTAAAATGACGACCGTCGGGATAATATATAGGATCAAATGGCTATTCAAGCTTCCAATCAAACTAATGCATATTACCTAAAATACCCCTTATTGTCCCTACTTTACTAGGGGCACAGATGTAATCTTATGATTTCCTTATCTATAAATAGGAGACTCATTTCTTGAATAAGGGTTACATAAATTTACTCTACATTAATGTGCTCTCTTTGCTTCTCTCTTCGCTTTTAGGTTGTATTTCATTGGTGTGTCTCCCTGATAGTTTCAAATTCAACACCGAGGAACTGAATCTTCTCTCAGACCAACTTTTTCATAATTGTTGGTTTGAATACGTTTTTCTCAATTTTTATTTAATGGTTAAGATTTGTGTACATTGAAAACATGCTAGGACAAATCACAACTTCACCTCACGAATAACAAAGGAAGCGGAGCAGACTCACATGACCCAACGTAGACGGTCCGAGACTGTATGTTCAGCCAGCTGGTTCCCCTTTTTGTAAAGGCAGGGCCTCTTTCATGAATAGAGAAGAATCACTGATGAGGAACCTGGTGGGTCAAGCTCTTCTTGATAGATCCTTCACCTCCCAATTCACATCAAATCAAAAAAAGGGGAACAAGTCTTTCAAACCCAGGACGACTGGCATGGACTCTTGACAAATTGGATTCTTGGCAAATAACCACTCTACCAAGCGACTATTCGACCCTGTAGCTGCTCGGTCTGAAAGAACGCTCGTCCTATCCACATGTAGGCCCCATAAGCCAAACTTATTAATAGAGTAGGGTACCCCGCCGTACCTAAGTATTTTAGGGGTACAATATGTAAATATGGACTGACAATAAATGTGGAATCCTTCTCATGAATAAAGGGGGTGACACAATTTTAATTTTCAATACTGTGCTCTCTCTCTCTCCCCCTGGATTTCGAGTGTTTTATTCCTTTGGTGTGCCCTAAACATATTTGGATTCAACATCCTAAAATGTGCGGTGAGCATGGAGTCATACTATCAACAAGAAGAAGAGCACAGAAATCCCTGAGAGAAGTGAGTGGCCAATGAATGGAAGCAAACATAGAACCCTCAGGGACTGACATTGAGGAATGCATGAGATAAGGACCCAAATCATGGAGCAGCTGATGGGTCAGATCGCAGAGGTCTTGAGAGCTATCATAACCCTAGAAAGAGACTGAACCCTGCAAGAACAAGATTGATCTCAAGAAGCACTGATAATGCACAATTGATGGAAGGCGAATCCCGACCCAGAAAGAGTCGATGACTCCCAATACCAAGATAGTGTGGGATCTGCACAGGTAGAGAAGCGGCGCGCAAGACGCATTAAAGCACCGCAACAGCTGGAGAATACTTTCTCCCTCTAAATATCTAGTGAGGGGCCTTTGAAATAATTTAAGTCGCCAGTTTTGGAAGCTTACGAGGGGCAATCGAACCCAACGACCATATCGTTGCATTCGAGTCGCCCTTATGCTTACTCAAAATCTCAAACACGATTAAGTGTCGTTTATTCTTTACCACCTTGACATATTTACACCTGAAATGGTTCTATGAACTCCCAACCAAAAGTATTGACAGCTTTGCCTATCTCTAAAGGCTATTCTTGGCACAATTCACCAGCACCTGGATACCCACCAAGAGTGTTTCGTCCTTGTGGCAGCTTAGCAAGGAGAGCACTAGAGTCTTGGCCCATTCATTGTATTCTTATAGATAGAGAGAGATATTGGAGGTAAAAGACCTCAAAGTTGATAACATGGTACCCTTAAAGCAAGCCCTTCAGTGGAGAAGTTATCCTTCAACCCCAGTATCAACGAACCCCCAGACTTTAGTGCATGTTGGGAGAATAAAGTATCCCTAAGTGGGAACTAGAAGGCTACCCCACCCAAAAGATAGCCCCTTCGGGGGTGAACCAAAAGGAAGAGAGGAACACAAACCACCCGTCTGGTGTCGTTTTGAAGAAGGCTAGCCCTCCTGAAACAATGGAGAAATAAGATGGTACTAACAACACAGTGAACCATGAGAAACTGAGACCCCCGGCTAACCCGATATTATTAAAGGCTGACACAATATTAGTAGAAGCCATATGGAGATTGCAAGGACCTAAAAGCTACTCTCATAAGGGTGTCAATGACATAAATTGTGGATGCCATCCAAGACAAATAATACTTTTAGGAACCAGTGAGCCAGAAATAAGGGAAAGTGCTGGAGGCTCCACCTAGGCTTGCCCAAACAAATATTCATTCATGTTGTGTGAATAATCCCATGAATATTTTCTCATTTTCCTTGCCCCACTCCCCACTTTCCGTACTATGAGCATGGACGATCTTAGATGAAATTTACTTTATGCTTGTCTTATTTTAGATCGCTCAAATAAAATTCCATTAAAAATATGTGCAAAATAAGTATGTGTCGCACTAACAAAAGATCCAAGACTTTCAGGTTGGCGAAATGCTCAGAGAAATGAGAGAGAAGACATGAAAACAAGAAACTCAGAAGAATAAAGATAGCCATTCGTGGTGCTAAGATCACTCGACTCAACATTACTGAAGAACAGTTAGTCGCGACGCCAAGATTGTCGGACTGAGCATCAAATGAAGACAACCAGCATGGTCACGCCGATTGATGAACCTGGGCGCCTCTCGCAATTTGAGTGTGGTCACGACAAAGAGCCGACATAATTATGCCAACTCTCAGTCTGGCTGGCATGGCCTCACTACCTTCTGGAGTGGTCACACCAGCTGCAGAGCCTTTAGGCTATTTTGGGAGGTTTTGGAGTGACCTTGGTATGTTTGGGCGTGGTCATGCCACAAGTTAGACTTGGTCACTCCATACCCCATAAATTTTAGGCTCCTGTAAGAATCCATTGGAGGAGTTTTGAATCTTGTGGGAACCTTATAGAGTCGTATATGAGTAAGATATGATCCTCGGGCCTCCGCAAGAGTTCTAAACGTGTCTCAAAAGAAGATGAATTGTATACACATTATTGAGTAAAATGGTTCTAACATGGGATCCATCTGTCCGGACCATAGTCCTAAGTTATAGACCCGACGTGGGAATATTTATATCAGCAAAATATGACCCTCGTGTCACATGAACGGACATCAACACGGAGGATACCAGAAATGATGTTGATTTTGACAACGTTCAACTCGGAGCCCGATCATGACGATGTAGACCCCTATACGTTCCCGTGTCACTCGACGAGAATGTCTAGTGATTGTGTTGCATAAAAAATGGATGCCAATAACGGTGTGACCTGATACCTAGGGCTACCAACATCCTCGTACTGACAACAGGTTTCAATAGGGATTCATATCCTTTCTCCATAACCAAGCTAAGAATTACAAAGAGAGATTTGGTAGAAGAATAAATTCACAGTGATAAAGTTGTCCTATATTTGGCAATATAGAACATACAAATTCAGTGAGTTTATTTAGGATGTCAATAAATGAATGTATGTGCAAGGTTAATCATGTTTTTAAAGAATTTTCAATGTCCTCGTTGCAGTTGTTTCTATCAAGGAGCAAGGAAATTAGATAACTTAATATGTACATCGAAAATATGCCAGCATGAATCTCGACGGGCCAACATCACCTCATGAATAACAAAGGAAGTATAGCGAGCTAACATGACTAACCATGGACGACTCGAGAATGTATGTTCAACCAGTTGATTTCCTTTATCGTAAAGGCAGTGCATCTTTCATGGATAGAGAAGAATGTCTCCTGAGTGGGTCAAGCCCGTGCATATAGATTCATCACCTCCCAATTCACATCAAATCGAAAAAGGGGAATGCGTCTTTCAACACTAGAACGACTGGCGTAGGTCGTTAGCAAATTAGATTCTCAGCAAATAACCACTCGGCCACGTGATTGTCCGGCCCTGTAGCCGTTGGCCGGAAAAGACACCAACAGGATCCACCAAAGGGCCTCACAAGCCAAATTTATGAACATAATAGGGTACCCTGTCGTACCTACATACTTTAGGGGTATATGATGTAAATATGAATTGACAACGTCTATAAATGGGGAGTCCATCTCATCAACAAATGAAGGTGATGCAATTTTGCTATTCAATATATGCTCTCGCTCTCTCTTTTCTCGAAGTTCAAGCACTTTATTACTTAGGCGTGCCCGAACAAATTTGAATTCAATAATTTTGAATTGATTAATAGTTTTTTTTTCGTGAAATAAAATATTTGGGTGGTATGATATAAAAAGTAAAATTTAAATGTTAGAAATGTAAATGTATTAAAATTGGATTGTATGTATCTAAGTGCCCCATCCTTTAATTACATTGTAGCATTATTCCGCCTAGCCTTTCTCAAACTATGCACAAATTCACAAAATTTGAGCAGAAAATCAAACTTCAAAGCTCACAAAAAGTTCCTTTTTTATTTTAACAAAGAGCAGAGGAAACCATCGCCGCAGAAAAGGCCCACGCCGACACCCTTCCGCCGCCGCCGCCTGTAGCCATGAGGAAACCCTTCACACTACCGCGAGCCCCACATCTAATCAGCCAAAGCGCCACCTCAACATTTCCAGCCTCCACGGCGCACTTAAACGGCGTGTATCCAGCGTCGTCCACTGCCTCCAACTCCGCGCCGTCCTCCACAAGCTCCTTCACCGCATCCATCCTCCCTTTAAATGCCGCCACGTGTAACGCCGTCCACCCGTTCTGGTCCCTCTGCCCTACGGCCCTAATATTTCCACCAAGCGGTCTGAGCAGCTCGTACATATGATTGTTCCCCATCGCCATGGCGACCTACAGCGGCGTTCTTCT